GGAAGAAGTCGTGTTTCAGCAGGACAATGAACCCCAGAACAAAGCGAAAATCGTCAAGAATTAACTCGATTATCAAAAATTTTTGATAAAGAAGTGGCCTACTCAAAGCCTAGACCAAAACCCCATGAAAATTTCTGGGCATTAGTTAAAAAAATGCTCTCAATGTAAGCTACACCACCGACTGGGATGAAGGGGTTTTAGTGTCGGATCCGGGCAAAGTTGAGCGAAATTTCGCATGCCTCTTTTGGAAAAGTGGTGGAGAGTTTGCCTAAGTGCATTGCTAGTGTGATTACAGCTAAAGAGCTTTGGACAAAATATTAAAAATAGTAAATATTTTAAAAAAGTTTAAAACGAGCAAAAGTGGATACATAGCTCTTTTTATGTATCCATCTGAAAAACTTGAAATTATAATCAAAAAGTGAAACAAATGATTTTACCATCTTACTTAAATATATCAAATGAATCTACTTCCAAAATTTCAGACAGATTCATGAAATTTTTGGTTTTTACAGGCATTTTAAAGTCGACTTGGCCAACATGTATCCATACATGCTCGCCACATTCTTGACCAGGGCGACAAGCTAAGTCGATTTAGCTCTATCCGTCTGTCCGTATGTTTGAACGCGTCGATCTCAGAAGATACAAGAGCTAGTGACTTGAAATTTTTCCTAGGTCCGTGTATAGCACGCGCATATTGAGTTTTGCTTTAAATATCGATAACTTGCTCCGTTATTTTTTTATCGATTAAAAACATTATCGAAAACCAGTAATAAATTTATATCTCCTACATCTTAAAAGCTAGAGTCTCAAAATTTTATATGTTTTTGTCAAAATTAACCCCACACCCGTAATGTTTAATAACTTTTTATTGTGTAAATGGACTATCTGTATGAAACTTTAAGATCGTGATTATAACATTGAATTGCAAATTTAATGGTTAGAGGGTGGATATATGGGCGGGTGGGTAAATTATAATATCAATCGAAATTATATAAAATAATTATGAACCTACATTTAAAATTTGACGACTCTAGCTCTAAAGGTGTAGGAGATATAATTATATAACTAATTTCTGATAAGAGCTTTAATCGGTAACAAAATAACGGGAGAAGTTATCGATTTTTGGAAAAAATCTCGATATGAGCGTGATATACATGGACTTGAAAAAAACGTATATGCCTCTTATATCTCCCGAGACGGACGGACGGATAAGGTTGTATCGACTCAACTCGTCGCCCTAATCAGGAATATATATTTTATAGGGTCTGCGAGGCTTCCTTTTGCCTGTTAAAGTATATATATCCTTGATCAGGGCGACGAGCTAAGTCGATTTAGTCCTAGCTGTCCGTTTTTGCTTCTGTCTGTTCGAACGCCAAAATCTCAGAAGATATAAGAGCTAGAGACTAGACTACCATACACATTGCAAGTTTATCTTATTTTATGATTATAATATCAGCTTCGAGGGCTCAGGGTATCTCGTAGTCGAGTAGAACACTTACTTGTTCAACCTAATTTGAGCACTATTAGACATGGAGATTTCAGATTTTATGTGCTTTACATTTGATAAATACACAGATTTTCGATACCTCACCCGTTTTAACTGCAATTTGTGAAAAACGTATTTTAAATACTAGAGACTTGTTCCTTGGAATATACACACAATATGATCACGTGATGAAATTTTCTTGAACATAGCCCGAGCGCAGTCGCTGATTAATACGCAGATAGCAGAGCGCGTTCTAATAGGTGCGCATAGATATAGATGGACATGTGTTTCTTTTATGTGTGTATAAAAGTGCAAAAGTGCAGAATGATTGGAATATCATTTGCAGAGTTCAGGGTATCTTCTTGTCGAGCAGTTTTTTATTTGTCCAGTTTCACAAATAAATAGATGTTTGAGTTGTTTGTTTTAATGTTATAATGCTTTTAACAAGAAATAAATTTATGTAAAGTTTTTTTTTTAATGTTAATTAGTCATGCCTTATTTCTGGAGAATCTGGAGCTGGAAAGACAGAGTCAACAAAATTTGTTTTACAATACTTGTGTGCCATCACATCTAATGTTTCGTCTTGGATTCAACAACAAATATTAGAAGCGAATACCATATTGGAAGCATTCGGTAAATAAAATTATTCTAGTTTTTAATTTAATAGAAATAAAAGCATAACAGAAAAGACGAGCTTCGTTAAAGTAAGAAATTTGACCTATTATTATTCACTAAATCCATTAAATGTTTTTATAAATATGTATCCAACAGGCAGATCCTATATGTATATATTATTGAATGATGATAGCTTTCTGTCGATCTCAGAAGGATCCTCTCCCTAGCTTTCCTTTTTTGTAGCGGTCTGTATATAACTAAAGTATTTCAAATTTTCATCATATTTTGTAAAATGGTATTTCAAATACTAGAGACATTACATGCGTTTCTTTTAGCGTTTTTATCCAATAAAAGAAGTTTGTTTTTTATACCCTAAACCCATTCAAAGTGTGAATTCTGGGTGTAATGGTCGTTGAAGTGTATGTATATTCTTGGCGATGAGCTGTCCCTATGCTTGAACGCAGATATATGATAGCTACAGACTTTACATTTGTATACCCTGAACCCATTTTCAATAGGAAATCTGGGTATAATGGTTTTCTTAAAATGTATGTAACAGGCAGTTTATTATACCCTGAGTTCAATTCTGTCTGCCCTATCCGTCTGTCTGTCCGTCCACCCGTCTCTCCGTATGTTTGAACGCGCCGATCTTATAAGATATAAGAGCTAGAGACTTCAAATTTATACATAGCATATCGAGTTTATCTCCAAAAATCGATAACTAGTCCCGTTATTTTGTTATCGATTAAAACTTATCGAAAATCGGTACTAAAATATATTTCCTACATCATTAAAGCCAGAGTCTCAAAATTTTAAATATATATATATACAATTCGTTATATTTTGGATGCCGGCTCCTAATTCACAAGAATTCCCAGTGAAGGTCAGATGGCGGTACAGTTAATTGTGGATGATTTGTCATTTATTAATCGTTAAGTTAAGTCAATCGACGTTAATGAATTAACAATTATTATAGTTCTCAGCAGTTAGTTCACTCTAGATTTGCTAGATGGCTCTGCAGCAATGAACCTATTTCAGTTTTGCCATAACACTTTTTTACTAAGAGTGGGGCGCTCGACCGAGAAGTCTCGGGTTCGACCCCACAGCGCGCAATTGATGTGTATTTTAATTGTTTCAAAATACATAAAAATATAATTAATGATATAATTTTCCCAATTGAAACTATTGAGATCGTCATGTCATTTATTTGGTAAAACATATCGTCGCATTTGCGCAAAATGATCGTATGTCGAAAAATTTAATTTTACAGGATGTTAATGTCACTGTATTTTAGAATATGTAGGTATGTGATAGTATGTGAGACAGATGTTTTCTAACCGTTCTGCATTAAAATCTCAATTTTGCAAAAAAATAAAGACTCGATCATTTCGTGGGAATGCGACGGTATGTATATACAGTGGTTCACAGCTTATTTCAACCAGCACCTAAAAAAAAAATGTTTGCTGATCTATAAAATCTAAACTATTGGGGATATTGAAAAAATTAAAACGCAAGGTGTTAGTGTGATGTTTAAACTAATACAAAATCAATTTATTTATTTTTTAAATCAGTCACCGACTAACACTCATCGCGAGCAGACGTTAGTTGCTAACCAATCGTGCTGTTATCAGTTCTCTTCTCTCCTCACACTCTTTCTATCAACCGTTACTTTTACAAAATATTAGTTCAAAGCGCTTGATCGCAGATAAAAAAAAAAAAAAAAACCATGGGTGGCCCGGGGCCCCCAAACCTGGGACATAATCGGTTCAGCACTCTGGCCGACAGTCCCCCAACAAAAAAACGTAAACCACCTTCAAAAACTTTAAATGACTTTCCCGAACTGCCATCTAACAACATTGCTAACCCAAAATATATAATAATCTCCGCCAAAGACAGTGATAAAACAATCTCAGAATATTCTTGCTTCGCTGTACACAAGGCGCTTAAGCACATCAATAAGAATATTAATGCAATAACAAATTTAA